TTATTATTCTCAAAAATTTCTTTATTTTCTCTGTATGTTCTTAACGGTACTATTGACAGCTCAACAATGTGCATTGTAGTTTATGTATCGCTGTGTCGCAAGCACGTTTGGCACAACGAACAACTGAGACGATTCGTACACAATCAAATGTGTTCGAAAGTGTTATACACCAAAAGTGACCCAATAAGTTTCAGTCACAATTCAGTTTGGCAACTGACATGTGTCAAATTAGCATTACGTGTATATTTCATTGACAGAGCATCGTTTGTTTTGTGCATTAGTGCTAGAGAGTTATTCATGTTGAGATGATGTGTTTGCCTCATTGCAATTGATACTATTTGGCTTGTGCAATTTGTTTGCTTTAATATAAATCGCATCATTGTGACAGAGAGTGTGCAGATTTTTTATTGGTTTCCGGTTAAAATTGACACATTTTATTCGGAATCATTTGTGCAATACATTGAGTCGAATCAGTTGTTGCCACGTCGAAGTACTTGTTACACACACCGAGCACGGGATTATTTCAATTGAACTGATAAAAATCAATTGGCCGAATAGTTTACAAGTCAATTTGGAAACTGATTGGATTCTACTTCAAGTGATGAACTGAGGCTAATTACACACCGAAAGAAAAATGCATGATCAAGGGAAATTTATCATAGCCGCTGTTGGCATTTTCTTCTCTTACTTTTATTTCGGCATTCTTCAGGAGAAAATTACGAGAAGCCGCTACGGTGAACGTGATGAGGACGGCAACTACGAGAAATTTACATACACCCTGACATTGGTGGGCGTTCAGTGTTTGTGGAATTGGATTTTTGCAAAAGGTATGCTCAAAATCTGGACAATTTATTGATCAACAGGTTTCTTGACTGATTTTGCCATCTCTTCTTATTTACTGTAGGTTTGACGCTCGTAAAGCCGGAGAAAGAGGATAAAACGCATTATGGTTATTATGCCTGTTCGGCAATCACCTACCTTTTGGCGATGGTCAGCTCGAATATGGCATTGAGATGGGTGCCATATCCAACACAAGTGATAGGCAAATCAGCTAAGCCGATTCCGGTGATGATTTTGGGCGTGCTCATCGGCCACAAACGATACACCATTCAACGTTACTGTTTTGTGTTGACAATTGTTGCTGGCGTCATTTTGTTTATGATGAAAGAAGGCAAAGTGAATGCAACGGTAGCTGCATCCGAACAAATGCTTGGCATCGGTGAAGTGCTTTTAATTTTGAGTTTGTCCATGGATGGATTAACGGGTGCGATACAAGAACGTATGAGATCAGCACATTCACCCACTGCTCAACACATGATGATCGCAATGAATGGATGGAGTACTGCCATTGTGTCGGTTGCCATCATTTTAACTGGCGAATTGTTCGAATTCATCGCCTTTGCCAGTCGTTATCCATATGTTTTGGTTAATTTGGCTCTGCTAGCCGTCACCGGTGCATTGGGTCAACTATTTATTTTCATCATGGTAGCTTCCTTTGGGCCATTGGCCTGTTCTGTTGTTACAACAACACGTAAATTCTTTACCGTTTTGTTTTCCGTCATTTTCTTCGGCAATGCATTGACTTCACGGCAATGGATGGGCGCAGTCTTGGTATTTGTGGGACTGTTTGCGGATGCAGCATTCGGTAAAAGTGCAGTAAAAAAGACTGACAAAAATGAAAAAGATAAAGAAAAATTGCTCTCCAATAAGTAAATAAAATACAGCACAAATAGAAACTGATTTGGTATTTGATGAAGATTGTTTGTGGTATTAAATAAACGATAGACATTTCAATAGATATCCATCATTACACTAATCACAGCCTTTGTGGACCAATTATTTTATATTTAAGGGAAAATGTGCTTTCTTCTAGAATTTATGAATATCAAATCAGCTTCGTTTGGTTCAGTTCAAACCTATATTTAAATTAAATTTTAGTGAATACAAATGATAAGCAACGAAACATTTTTCAACCAATGTATATTCGATTAAAATTCATTTCATATGACAATTTCAATAGCAAGCAAAATAAAAAAAAAATATTTATAATTTCTTCCGATCGAATTTTTTCGTACGAAGAAAACGAAACGAATTCAGTGTACCAATTTTTTCATGCATGAACATTGCATTGTTTCGGAATTTTCCACAAAATCATCGTATTAATTATTCATATTGCAGCGAATTTACAGAGAAATGGGAAAACGCAACGAGAATTGTGACAGTCAAGACACATTGTTGTTATGCGGGTTTGTGTCGTTGCTAATCGAAATTGACAGTTCGCCTATATCAAACGAGAGCTACCATGACAGTTGTTGGGCTGCTTCGCATTGGTAGTGGTAACAATATGGCGTCATGTCATTTTTAGTTCAAAGTTTTTTGTGATGCGTATTATGGAAGAGAGAAATCGTGTTTTTTTCCACATTTTTACGCAAAATTTCACAATAAAACCACTTTAAAGTATTGTTTCTTTGATTCCAACGCAAATTTACAATTGATAACATAAAATTATCGAAGAAATTTTTCGGATTTACGTGATTTTCAAGACTATCCGAAATTTCACAATATTGCGTGTTAAAGAATTGTTGTTTGTTCAAGCAAATCAAGTGCATCCATTGAAATGGGTCAACGACGGTGTTGTGTTGCTGAATGCAAATCGGCATCACATTTGCCCGAGCACAGTGATGTGAAATTTCATGCGTTTCCAACGAATGACGTTGCCCGAAATATGTGGCTGAAAAATTGTCACATCGAACAAAATCGATCGATAACCAAAAGTAACGTCGTATGCTCGCGTCACTTTCTTGAAACCGATTATCAGGCACCAAAAAATGGTCGACGATTACTCAATTCAAATGCAGTACCGACTATTTTCGCATGGGGTAATCAAAAATCGTTTGCAGAACATTTGGCCGAAGCACAACAATCAAGCCCAACGCTAGATACATCAACCAAAGGAGGAAACACAGATAAAGTGACAAAAACACCGAGTGACACCACTACACCGGTGGGTAAATCGAAAAAGATGATTTCACGGTCGCAAGCAAACAGTGCGGCCGAAAAACAAAGATCGGCCAGCGCTGAAGAACAATCAACGGGTGATTCAAATACAAAAGTTAATGTAGCAAGAAAGTCATTGGATTCAGTTGCAACACCAGAGAAATCAACGGGAAAAGACAATGCTATTAAGTCGCCGAGTAAAAAGTTTGATATTGCGATGCAATTGACACCCGGAGCCAAAGTCGAAGTACAGGATATGAGCGGAAGTTGGCATAATGCCAGCGTTGCTGAGGTGGATCAGGGCGAACAAGAGGTTTTGATTAATTTCGAGAAAAATGTTAAGGCCAAGGGAGCAGGCGGGTGAGTATTGTTTGAGAGATAACAAAAAAAACGTTTTAAAAAATGGAGAAAAAAGGAAAAAGTGAAAGAAAAATTAGAATAGAACGAATTTTCAGAGAAATATAAACTAAACATGTACATGTTCCCTCATTTAGATTCAAACTAAGCGATGAATGGATAGCAATGGATAGCAGCCGATTGCGAATTCCCGTTCCGATTCAATTCAAAGAAGGTGATCGTTGTTTGGCTCGATGGACTGATTCAAGGAAGTTCCCAGCAACTGTTCTTCGGCCGTTGGAAAACAGTAAGAAAATGTCATCTTTTGGAAAAATGCTCTATTTTTTAATCATTCCATACTTTAAGCCCTAATCCATGTGCCAAGTTGATTAGTATCAATTTCTCGTGCATAAACCTAATTCCCACTTTTCAATTTTCAGACAAATACGAAGTGCTCTTCGATGACGGTTACATCAAGCATGTAAAAGGAATTCACATGTCGAAAATTAAGCGACCGGCAAATGACAAAGCACCGACAGATTCACCAGCAACGCCAGTCATACCGATTCCACCGGTTCAAGCCATCATTAAAAAACCATTCAAAGTCAATACAATCCCGAAGTTTGACGTCAGCAAATTTAATTTGCCTGAAATACCAGAAGGTGAATGGTGTTGCCCGTGGATAAACGACACACCAATTGGTGATGAAGGATTCTTGCTGAATGCGGATGGCACGAAACGGCCAACCGTTCTAGTGCAAGACAACCGTTTGCCGACTGGCTGGACAAAGCATTTGTATCAGCGATCGAGTACATCTGGCAAATGGGATGTTGTGCTTGTCGGTCCAAACAACAAGCGCTTCCGATCAAAAAACGACGTTAAAGTTTACTTGGAAGAAATCGGACAATCGTATAACCCGGACATTTACGATTTTAGCATTCACAAACGTCGTGCAAAAGATATTGGTGTATATGTTTACACGGATGACTATGTGCCGCCGGTTGTCCAAAAGCCATCGTCCGATTTCAAACTAGATTCAAGTCTGGATGCATCATTCCAAGACTTTAAACAAGAGCCATTCACTGGATTCGCACCGAATGAATCGACATCGTCAATTCTGTCAAAGATTACACAAGAAATCAAAGCCGAAACCAGCACACCAATAAAAACCGAAGCAAATGCATCGTTGGAAGAAGGATTCATCTATGTTGGCGCATTGAAAGTTCAACTGATTGATAATTTGTTCCAGTGCCCGAAAGAAGGGTGTGTCAAAACTTTTCGCAAAGAGAACCATTTGCAAATCCATGTAAAACACTATCATCATGAGTTGTCAGAGCAACTGGGCGCTTGTCCAAATATGACTGAATTGGCTTACTTCCGTACAATGCACTCATCCATCGAGGAACCATCGCCGAAAAATCAAATTCCCAATGCACAATTCTTTGAGAAGTCATTCACAGCGGAAATGCGAACGATTCGAAAGTCCATCTCGCCGACACGCGTGAAAATCGAACCGAAATCCGAAGATCAATCGACGCCATTGCCAGCAGCGGCTGGAGAACAAGCGAATGAAGGACTGAAACGAAAGTTAAGCACAAGTCAAATGAGCCCAGAGGTTAAAGAGAAACGCAAACCATCGGCAAATGATAAGGTTACTTCACCGGAGGCTTCTGCAAAATTCAGTACAATCAAAGAGATTGTTGTTTTTGATGAAATCGAAATGGGCTCATCGGCAGCTTCAGTGAAGAAACCAGAAGGAAGTGTTGCAGCTGATTCAAAACCGACAGCTCAAAAGGCGGCAATTCCGCGATTCAAAATCGGTCATGCGGCCAAAATCAAGGCGAACAAAGTTTCGCGACGCAAAGGCAAGACGTTCAAGAAGAAATTCAAGAAATTGGGCAAAGGATTCAAACGAAAGGCGTTTGAAATTCGTGTACCGCTATTGCGTGAAGGTGACGCATTGCCTGGCATTCGTCGTACCGGTGGTAGTTCAAGCTTTGGGACAATTCCGGCTCAATCACGACCAAATCGATTGAAATTTTTACAGTACTCATCTACCGACTCCAATTCGGAGAATTCAACAATGGATCCGAATTTCCAGCAGCGTTCCGCATCGAGTTACATCAACGAAAACGGTGAAGTAATCAAAATCGTGCGAATGCGTCAAGAGGAAATTATCAATTGCCTGTGTTCGTATGGCGAAGAGGATGGTTTAATGATTCAGTGTGAATTGTGCTTGTGCTGGCAACACGGCGGATGCAACGGCATCGAAAAAGAAAGCGAAGTGCCGGAAAAGTATGTGTGCTACATTTGCCGGAATCCGGATAGAGCTCGCGAATCGATGCGATACATTCATGATCAGGAATGGTTGTACGAAGGTAAATTGTTCCATGCAAATTATCACCCAGCAAGTCGTCAAGCCCCATTACGCTTCGACATTCTCAAGCAAAGCCACACACTAACCGGCAATCTGTTGGAGCTGAAACGCTCGTTGCATAGTTTGAATGTGAAGATAAACATTGCCGCAAATAAAGATCATCCGAAAATGTATTTGTGGTCAAAGAAATGGGAACAAAGTCCACCGAGAAATATTGAATCGATTGCCGAAGCAAAAGTTGAATTAAAACCCGTTGAGCAAGTGCAAAATAGCCCAGTTTCGGAAGCTAAAAATGAAATTGCGACTTCTGAAACGAGCACAAAAAGTGCTGATCGTGAAAATAACGTGGCGAAAGGTGATGGAACCGAGCAGACGACATCAAACGAAACAACGCAACAAGAGAAAAATGGGGCAACTGAAACTGCTACGGATAAAAATACTAAGCAGGAAGTAAAAGAGGCAACACATCAACCGCCGAAACAGACACTTTCACCGAAAAAAGTGGCTCGACCAACGCCAAACATCCCTGAACCAGAAGCAGCCATCGACTCGCTTGAATGTCAACATCGTCTCTTGGAACACATTCAGAAGGTACAGAACACGATTCTCTCACGAATGCAAACCATCGATGCACAGATCATGGGTGAGTTGCTTTATTGAACGATTTCTATTCGTTTTATACTCAAATTTTGATCAACCATACTATTTAATATTTTGCGTTTTTAGCATTGGAATCGATGGATGATCATCCGGATACGAATTCAAAAACAGACTTCACCAAAACAAGTCAAACCATACGCATGCTACTTACCGATTTGGCCAAAATGCAAAAACTCTCCGCGATCAATGAACAAACAGCGCTGTACAATTCGGTTGAACCTACTCATTTTGTATGAATACATTTTTATTCAAATGATCCAAAGTTGATTTATTACATTTCTCAGAAGAATGTCCCAAATTTTATTATGCTTTAAGTAAAGAGAAATAAATTCCATGAATTTACAAAAAAAAAAAAAAACATAAGCGACAGTTAATTGTTTTAATTTTGATTTTCATCAATTTTTGGAACTTTGAATTTTTTGATAGGTGTCATCAATTTGTTGCCATGTATTGAAGTGTACTTGATCCATTATGTTTGTTACCAAGCTGGTTTTTGGATCATTCGTAATGTCTTGACTGAACATTTCGTCTGGTGATGATAATGACTTAAATGGAGTATCACCTTTCACCGATGGATTGCTAATAATTGAACGACATAGAGCATGAAGAATGAAATTGGTAAGAAATCGAAGTGAAATTATTGTCAAAATCTCTTCATAACTCACCCGATACGGGCAAAATTAGTGATTATATTGACCATACGCTTAATCGCTCTATAATTCACATTTGAATCGTCGCTGACTTGTAATAAATTTTCATATAGTTTGTAACTATCCAAGAAACGGCAACGGAAAATAAAGCACAGCTCTTCTCCGTGAGCCATTCCATCGAAATCTAATTGATATGTCACTTTGTATATATTGAGTGCAGTATCTACACCGAATCTAGAATTGATGGACAAGTTGTTGAAATTATTTTAAATGGATCGTTAGAATGGCATTCAAACCTCAGTAGAAACGTATTTTTCCGTGTTTCCTTGTTATTTGCTATCACTTGATATCGGGCAGCTTTGAGAATGCCATACCCGAAGCTTGAATCTGAGAGCAAACCAATATTTGCACGTTTAATTGCATCATCATTGGTTGTGTCATTGAAATAGGCGTCTGTCAACAGATCAATCGCATTCTTGTATTCCTGCAAAAAGATGTTATTCATTCTCTCAATCCAGTTTTTGTTTTTTCATAATATAAACAGCGCCAGACCACAGTCGTCAATCAAATAAAATGCATAGAATTACTTCTGGGTAAGAATCTTTAAAGAATCCTCGGAATGGCAGCAACAACTTTGAATCCTTCCAGTCTCCTTTAAGAAGTGGTTCAGTGCTTGTAGTTATTTCTGGATTAAATGTTATGGATTCCTATGGGAAGAATATGTTAAATTTTCAAAAATGACTTCAAAACATTTTATCGATTATTCTTAATTACTTGAGAAGTAAGACTGAACATGGTATCCATAATTGGTGCCTTATCCGATTTATAAATTTCTTCCGGATTTTTGGTTATGAATGCTCCTTTGGTTTCAGAGCTTTCCATGGTGGCACGAAAAACCTGTCCCAAATGCAAAACCAATCCAAAAGATGGCGCTAATGGCACGGAGCAGTTCAGTTTTGACATTGCTAGTTTGTCATATGGTCGCTGTGGTGTGTGTTGTCTTTCGCGCCAAAACATCGTTTGTCACACAGTCAACTAACTGTTGCGCATTCATTGTTTTCTTGTATCTTGTTAGTCGCACAAGTGAATCGTATTCCGTTTCTATCGACGATAAAAAAAAATATATTTTGTGGTTACTTTATTGTTGCTTGTTCCCCCATTAATTAATCATGGATGTAGCTGATGTTCAAGTTGGTCAATTGCGTGTAAAAGACGATGTTGGAATTCGTTGCCAGAAATTGTTTCAAGATTTCTTGGAAGAGTAAGTAGCTTGTGTTGCACATGTCATTTTGAAGTAGGTTTTAATTGTTGGTTAAACATTTTTTTTTCTGTCGTAGATTCCGTGAAAACGGTGAAATAAAATATTTGCATCCAGTGCAGGAGCTTGTATCGCCGGATCGTTCAACGCTTGAAGTGAATTTCGATGATGTTGAAAAGTATAACCAAAATTTGGCCACCACCATCATCGAAGAATATTATCGTATCTATCCGTTTTTGTGCCAAGCGGTATCAAACTACACAAAAGATCGTACCGAATTGAAAAAAGAGAAAGAATGCTATGTTTCGTTCACCGATGTTCCAACTCGGCAAAAAGTTCGTGAATTGACCACATCGAAAATTGGTACATTGATTCGTATCTCCGGTCAAGTGGTTCGTACACATCCAGTTCACCCGGAATTGGTGTCGGGTACATTTGTGTGCCTTGACTGTCAGACAGAAGTGCGTGACGTTGAACAACAGTTTAAATTCACAAACCCAACCATTTGCCGGAATCCAGTTTGTGCCAATCGTCGCAAATTCATGCTTGAAACGGATAAATCCATGTTTATCGATTTCCAAAAAGTCCGCATTCAAGAGACACAAGCCGAATTGCCGCGTGGTTGTATCCCACGTTCGGTTGAGGTCATTTTGCGCAATGAAATTGTCGAAACGGTTCAGGCTGGCGATCGATATGATTTCACTGGTACTTTGATCGTTGTACCGAATGTGGCATCGTTGCAGTTGCCCGGCGCCAAAGCCGACCTTGGATCACGTCATCAACGAGGTGAAGCGGCTGCTGCCGAAGGTGTTCGTGGATTGAAAGCGTTGGGTGTTCGTGATTTGTCATATCGCATGGCATTTTTAGCTTGCAGCGTTCAGGCCACAACTTCTCGATTTGGCGGCACTGATTTGCCAATGAGCGAAGTTACCGCTGAAGATATGAAAAATCAAATGACAACCGAAGAATGGAATAAGGTGTATACGATGTCAAAGGATCGCAACATTTACAACAATCTGATTAACAGCCTGTTCCCATCCATTTATGGCAATGACGAAGTTAAACGTGGTGTTTTGCTGCAGTTGTTTAGTGGCGTAGCTAAAACTACACATGAACGTAAGTGTTGGAATTACAGGAGTAGAAAATTATGTAGAAAATCTTATAACGTTGAAAATGTTCATCTTAGAACGCATTGAAATTATTTTTATTGACGGAGAAGATAAATTGAAACACAGTTTTAATGTATGCCATTTTCCGTTGAAATAGAAACAACATTGAGAGGTGATATCAACGTGTGCATCGTTGGCGATCCAAGTACAGCTAAATCGCAGCTTTTAAAACAGGTAAACCTCATTTAGAGACAATTTGTTTATTTTTTCTTCCATTTCTGAATAAAATAACACTGAACCGTATTTAAAAAAAAACCAATAAAAGAGTTACTATCGAATTCAAAACCATTGTCAATCTCTTCAGGTCGCTGAGTTTTCGCCACGTGCCGTGTATACATCAGGCAAAGCGTCATCGGCAGCTGGTTTAACTGCAGCCGTTGTCAAAGACGAGGAGAGTTTTGACTTTGTCATCGAAGCTGGTGCCCTTATGTTGGCTGACAACGGTGTCTGTTGTATCGATGAGTTCGACAAAATGGAGGTCCGCGATCAAGTAGCCATCCACGAGGCAATGGAACAGCAAACTATTTCATTGGCCAAGGCTGGTGTTCGTGCCACCCTAAATGCTCGCACGTCAATCCTTGCTGCCGCCAATCCAATCAATGGTCGTTACGATCGTTCAAAGTCACTGCAGCAGAACATTCAATTGAGCGCACCGATCATGTCACGTTTTGATTTGTTCTTCATTTTGGTTGATGAATGCAATGAAATCACCGACTATGCCATCGCTCGGAGAATCATCGATTTGCACACAAACATGGAGGAACAACAAACTGAGCATGTTTACACGCGTGAAGAGGTGCTTCGATACATAACATTTGCTCGTCAGTTTAAGCCGATGATTAGTGAAGATGCGGCTCATTTGTTGGTTGAAAATTATGGCCATGTGCGTCAGCGTGACACTGGCATGACTGGAAAAGGATCATGGCGCATCACGGTACGTCAATTGGAGAGTATGGTTCGACTTAGCGAAGCATTGGCCAAACTTGAGTGCTTGAATGAAGTACAGGCTAAACATGCAAAAGAAGCCTATCGTTTGCTCAACAAGTCAATAATTCGTGTCGAACAGCCGGATATTCACTTTGACGATGAGGACGATGCAATGCTTGCCGACATCGATATGCAAGATGAAAACTTACCGCCTAACGATCAGGCCATCGAAACGGAAGAAACGGCCGGTGAATTACAAAAGAAGAAACTCACACTTGCATTCGAAGATTATCGTAACATTTCCAATATGTTGGTGTTGCATATGCGAGCCGAAGAAAGCAAAATGGATTCGGGTGAAAGTGATTCGGAGGGTGTTCGTCGTGAAGATTTGGTAAATTGGTATTTGGAACAGGTTGCCGATGACATTGAAAGCGAAGACGATCTGATTGAACGCAAAACACTGGTTGAAAAGGTCATCGATCGTCTGATGAACCATGATCAAGTCATCATTCCACTGCGCACAACTATCTTGAAACCAAAACAAACCGATACCGATGAAGATGAGGCCAATCCAGTGCTTGTGGTGCACCCCAACTATGTCATCGAATGAGCTGCTGCACACTAGAATTATCACACTTTTTTGTTTGAATTTGCATTTCTTTTTTTTATTATTATTATTATATTCTCGTACAAACTCTTATTTATAAGTTAATTTTAGCCATTATTCTACATACTCTTCTTGACTTTCTGAACCACATTGCTCACTGTTGATCCAAAAAAAGCAAACCAAACAAATCATTTAGAATTTAAAAACATAAGAACAATGAACTTTTTTTTGAAAACCGTTGAATAAATTTGCAATTTTTTTTAAACCAAAAACCAAACATATTTTCGCATTTTCACAAGATTTCTGTGATAAAAAAGCAGTGATAAAAAAAATTATAGTAAATTATAGCTCTAGATCTATGTACAGCTATTTCGTCTTAAGATCATCTTCAGTAAGATCGTTTTCATTGTAGTTGCCCCGGTATGCAAGTGGATTCTCGGATTTTCGCTCGGCCAAATCGTTTGCCAATATTTCTGATGACACTTCGTCGAACGCTTTTCCTTTGCCATAGAAAATATCCTCACGGTAAACACGATTTTTGCGACGGTATGTACCGTGCAGCTGCAGAAAGAAGATAGACACATAAATAGGAGAAGAAGATGAAGTGAAGCATCTAAGTCGTTACCTTGTCCCAAATCCAAATATTGAATCCATAGTTCACATGGAAATATTGATGATGGTTATCGTGGAAGATGGCGTCCGGCTGCCAAGGTTGCCACCATTGTGCTTTGAAGGCAATGCCAGAATGGTCAATGATGCCATGGTAGTAGGTATATATAAGAATTCCATAAAATAAAACTACAATTCGAAATTAAAATAGAAAAAATGACACATTGTTGACTTGAAATTGTCTCTTTTTTACAGGAAAAAACCTTACTCCAATGAACAGGCACTAAGACCATTGGAGACGCCAAAGCCATTTGCACATTCACTATTTCAACTGGATGAATTGCGGACACTGAAAATGCTGTCGGTTGCTTATATTTGTGGTGCAATTTGTGGAAATGTTTGTACAAAAATGGATAATGATAAAATCTGTGGATCCAGTACGTTAGGTAATCCTGAAAAAAAATCGGAAATTAGTCTTGATATATTTGATTTTTGAGATGAAAAAAAAAATGATCGAAAAATTCGAATTAAATTCAATATTTAATTTTAAATTTAATATGGAATTTAATTCAAATTTTATTCGCTAAGATTTTTTTCTTTTCATTCATTGAACTAAATTGAATTTTTCTGGGGGGAAAAAAAGAAAAAAAATGTTGATTATAAAAATGTATTCAAACTGACTTGATACATAAATACGATTGGAATTTGTAGGAAAAACCACAACCATCCATATTCATCAGCTCGATAGTATATTTTCAAGTATTTGCCATCATTTGCTGCATACCAAGAGATGCATCCCGTTAAAAAACTCACAACACCTAACGACAATGAGCCAAACAGCATTTCATGTCGTTCGAGTTCAGGTGACATGAATATTTCCGGTTGACATTTCCATTCGTGGCTTTTGTCGCGTTGTCGAACATAAAAATACCACTTGAAAAGAGATAGAAGGAATAATAAATTTTGAAGAAAAAAATTAAATAAATGAAGTAATTGATAATAAAAAAGGAGTCTTAAATTGAGACACAATTCAATTGTAATTGCAACTAATGAAATTTACACGTATTTACATGTAAAAATCCGCCAATGACAAAATAAAGACCATATGACGAAATTGCCGAAACGATGATGAAAAATAGTAAGGATCCATTCTTATCGTCGGGCCAAGCATGTGCTGTGATCAATTTCTCATTTTGTGAGTTAGACTGTTCAATATGTTTGAAATAGTGTACTATAATAGTGATCCAGTCACCTAGTGTATGTGAGGAAATCAAGATATTTAGAATAAAAAAAAAGTTATATTATAATACTGATAATAATCAGTGATGTTTTTGAACTTCTTGAATTTTTATGACCGGCAATTGAAAGAACACAATGGATCAACTCGATCTATCTGATAACAATCGCTGATTATTCACTTCGAACATTGCAGCGAACATTGGAATTTTATTTATTTATTCTTTTCAAATAAAAAAACCTACTGAAAATATTTCTACGAAAAATTCCAGTCGATTTCAATCGAATTTAATTAAATTTTTTATCTTCATTCAATACTACAACAAGAATAATAAACGATATTTAAGTATGTTCACTGAAAACACTATTTTACGTTATCAACGACAAAATCATGGCAAAAAATTATTGAATTTTTTTGGCAGAATTAAAAAAAAAATTCCAAACTACAGCAATAATTCAATTAACAATAGTACCTTGTATGCCGGAGGCGAATAAAAATATGGCAATGGTGACAAATATTTGGCCCAACCAATTTGGAATATATTTCCATATTTGTTCTATCCTCGATGCAAAAAATGAGCGTTCGGACCAACGAACCCCTTCCATCATTGGATTATAACCATTTTTTACTTTTTCTCCAATCGTAAGGTCTTTTTGTTCCACTGTTTTTCCATTGCTAAACGTCATTTTTCAAATGCTATTTTGCAAAATTGCACAGAAATAATATTTATCTAGAACAAAAAATAATCGCTTTGTATCAAGGTACAGCGCAGGTCATTGTTAATGAAAAGAATAATGAAATTCCACACTGTCAAAGAATCAAATTCTTCACTGACTGCTTGCTCGAAATGAATTCGTTACGAATTGAATGTGAGATTGATTTCCAATGGTTAATATCTCGTCGATTTATGGTACTTTGAGGTTGTTATCGGCTTATTATAATCAAGAGCAGCACACGAAGAAATCATACGCGATTTTTTCCACGTATGGCTTTTGTTAGCAGTTTTTGCTCAAAGGAGATTGATAAAATTGATAATAGCTATTGATAGTAAGTCATGGTATACGTAGGCGGGATTTGGCATTGAAATTCAGGACAAATGCACCCAACAAAGTCAAAGAACTTGATAAGCACACTGAACGTACTTTCGGTGCAAACATACGTTGGTTCGACTCACTGCACACATATCCAACAATGCAACAATCAGTTATTCCAATTATTAGTGAAATTTGATGAAAAAAAAAATCCGTACAAAAATACCAAACAATGAAAACCCCGTATTTTTATACATTTCTGAAAACTTAATTTTTATTCAATCAGTAAATTGGCTTTTGAGTTTGTGTGTTATTTTATGTTTGTTATTCTATTTTCACACTGACAATGCATGAAAGGGAAATTGGTCTGTTTGTTTTTGTAGAATAAATCATATTTAAAAAAAAAAGAAGATGATAAGCAATGGTTTAAAAGAGAGTGTTTTAACGATGACAGAATCTTCATACGATGGAACGTTGTTTAGCTTTCGTCATCTTCGATTTTCGGTGCCAAGTAGTATCGAATGTGACCGTAGTCTTGAACTTTGTATTCTACAACTAATGGAACATCGGCCGACATTGACAGCTGCACCTGGGCAGACAACGGAGTTGCCTTTGTGAACGAGTTCAAGTAGCGGCAAGCGAATGTCAATGTGACTGGCTCTTGCATTTCGATGATGACAGCCTCTTCTTCCTTGTCAATCGATGAGGTTTGGGCGAGTTTCACATTGGCTGCACCAACATCACCACTGGCCGAGAATTTCACACCTTTGAAAAGAGACAGAACAATAGAATTATTGTGATTTTTGCATATAACCATCTCCATTCATCGATTTTCAAAACAAAGAAAATAAATGAAATGAAAACAATCGCTTTACATTTCGCGTAGTGCAAAAAATCTTAAACGAAGGGCTGCGTTTTCTACATCACCACAAAGTGACGGAATTTCGCAACGACATGCAATTTTGTGACAAACGCAAAATGAGGTTATGTTTCCGTTTTTTCTCTTACCTTCTTTGGTGCAAGCAATGACCATTGATTCACCGAATTGCGATAAATCGCGGCAGATGCGTGCAAATTCCATCGATGGCATACGCACAATGCATGCATAATTGGTTTCTGGAATGCCCAAGTGCTCTTGATCCAAATTCATCAGTTTCATTTCATAGTCGGAAATCTGAACAATAAACCAAGCAAACCATGGAATGTGTTAGAAAAGAAGAGTGTACAACAATGGGTTGAGGCAGTTAGGTCAGTTCTGTTTGGCTTTCATACCTTTTCTTGATTCGGTGATTCGAACATGAAGGTGACGGTGTCGGCGTTATCTTGTGCTTTCATTGTGAGCGTGTCATCGTTGTTGGCACACTTCAAAATCTTGGCCATACTGGCAAGATTCATGCCCATCGACAAGTTACGATCGCAACGGAACTTATCGAATCCATCGGAGCGCAGAGTCAACGATACTAATGACACATGCGAATTGTCCATGGCTTGCAACTGTACATTCAATCAAAATCAAAAATCAATTAGACTTCTATGGAAAATTTTTGGTTTCAAAAAAAAAATGTAATCATCGATTTTATACCTGAATACCAGAATCGCTGCAGTCGAAGGTGGCTTCATTGAGCAGGTCTTTGATGGCATCGAGCACTTTTTTCAAGACAGCTGAGGAGGTAAGGCGTGCTTCAAACATGATTACTCCGTGTGTGTGTGACTTCTGGAAATCACCAGAAAATAAAATACATTCAAGTTATTGAGTTATTAAAATGATAAAAATCCGTCGGATTTATTATCAAATCACTAAATAAACAGTTACCAAAAAAAGGAAAAGTAAGACCAGCGTTTATTCAAACAAATTGCAGAAGAATACGAGCGAGCACCGAATCAACAGTGGTTTGCTTCACGTTCAATACTAAAGTGACAAATGCGTTGTTGTTTTGGCGCGAATTGCTGTATCATACACAACGAACGAACCGCTCAAACTGAACTGTCGTCACATACAGTTGTTTCATTCTAACGCACGCCCATCGCCCGCTTCACATAGTATCGGTCTGTTCGAACGTATGGCATCGTTTAGTTCGTACAAAGGAATTTTGTGCGGGAAAATAGAGAGCACAGCAGCTGTCTTTGTTTATCCGTTTGGTTCGATGGGCATTTGAAGAAGAACGATATAGGTGTTGAATTGCGTGCGAGTGACAGTTGTAGGAAAACATCAAGCGCTGCGTTTACAATGCGACGGTTGTGAAATTCAGCTGTTAGAAAAAAAACGCCGGTACATGTGTTTCTGTTGTTTTAAAATACAGGGGAAATTTGATGAAATCCACCTGAAAAATGCATAAATGAATTTCAACGTTGATATAATTCGATGCAAAGTCCATGTGTAAAGTTGATAAAATGTTCCGTCACATGTGTCTAACACAAAACTTAATCGTGTTAATGCCTCTGCGATGCATGTCAGAATTCAAGTGTATCCACTTTAATTAAAGTGGCTAAAACCGAAAACACAATTTGGGCGGAGATGCAATACACACAGCCTAAAACCATCAAGTTGTTAGTTCAGCAGCAAAGTTGTGTTTTCGTTGAAAGACTCGCTCGGTTAAGGTTCAATAAAGTGATCAGCATTCGTTGGTATAATGTATGGGTTCGGACGATAAATCATGTGTTTTATTAAAGCGATAGAATAAACAAGGTGCAAGTACGCATGTTGTTCATTCGATGCAAAGAAACCGCATAACGCCATCGAGATGGAGAGCGATGGAAAAAGAGGCAGAAAGGGAAAGAGGTGAAAAAGAGATAGAAGCGAGACCTTACATGTCATAAATTTGGTTTGAGTGTGTTAAATCTGCTCGAAAAATCGAATGAATTGGGTGGAAAAATTGTGTTTTTTTTTTTTTGGTTCAATTATTGGTTCGTAGTACAAAGTGAGCAAAATGTGCATGTGTATACCTATATTCGGCTGTCATCGTTCGATTTTCTGTGTAGATGGAACGATAGAGATGAATTGTTTGTTCATTTAAATAGTGAAAACACCAGCAGCCACAGCAAACAAGCCCAATGCCCTATATGATAGACTTGAAATGTATCTACATTGTTTACGTGCTTTTGTGAATACAAATTGTGTGCCGCAAACAGATTGGACGAGTGTATGTGTGCTTCGTTTCAGAGTAATCCATCGTACACACACACACACACAACACACAGCACATTGGCCATCATAAGTACCGTCGATACAAACAACTATCCGCACTGCTGCTACATCGGCCGGACTGGTGTGTATCTGAGCAATCTCTCGCTCTCTCTCGGTTTGCATTGGAAAATCACATATGTCAAACGTTTAGACACTCAAACGCCTAACACAACCAAATTAAATTAAATTTGCATGAAATTGCTTGGCAATGGGGCGGAATTTCATACGGTACAAACGGAACACAACATCAAAACAATTATTCAAATTCTTCAAAGAATGTGTTATCTATTTTATTAGCTATCCGCTTTTCCGACTGCTCCACATTTTCACACTCTACCACTGTATTTAGTCTTGTGCTCTGTATGTGTGTGTGTATGGCTGCGGCTTTTTGCAATTGCCCCAGCAATACTTTGTATATGCAACAATCCAAGCGGAATGAGCAATCGAGTCAAAGTTCATAAAATACCTCACTGGCGGAGAAATAGTTTTGCGTTTAATGAAAATGTTACGATGCTTCAATTAAAATGAAATACGATCGTTGAATGTCGGCTTTTTTTCGTTTTGGCTTTAAAAATAGAACATTTATTCTCTTTGAATAAAATCCGCATTTTCTTTTCTATGAATACCAGTGGGCCAGTGTGTTAATGACCAATAACGTTGTGACTTTATTAAATAGTCTATATTAATTTGTCGAATTTTTATCCATGAACTACACTATCATTTGATCTCTATAGTATATTGCATAGTTCAACGGTTGAACTTCAACTGAGATTTTCTCTCTCATTGTGTATGTGTGACTCTTACTCACTATGCATAGCATTCCAGAAAAATCGATAAAATCATTAAAATTCGGCTCAGTTTCATTCCGGCAGCATTTGACTCCGCAAATAATTTTCAATTCATGTCGGTGCTCTTGTAATAATAAATATTTAATATTGACTCTGGATGTCGATTCGATTCGGCTTGGAATAAAATTATGTAATGGGAATATGTACGACAAATGACAGTATCCGATTCACTTCGTGTTCGTTATTATTATTTGCTATAGCAAAGATATTTGAACGCATAATGCATTTTATGCATCAACGAAATAAATCGCTCTCTGGTTTGCACTTTTAAGAGTTGAATGGGGACAGATAGTTTCTGTCTCTCTTTCTATCTCGCTCACCCTTATCTTACTCTATGTCAGCGAATAGACGAACAATTTGCTGTTGTTTCTTTGGAGATGATGACATTATTATTCATTGTCTGCTTTCTAATGGTAGTGCTTTGAGATTATCGTTGAGTCTCAATCCATCGGAAATACTATTTGTGTAGAGGCTCTTCAGTTGAACTGTGAGTGTGTGTGTATATTCGAATGGAACAATAAACTCGGAAGCGATTGCAATTTTCGTGAATAATTTTGTGTCTACAATGAGATATGCAGAGAAAATGTGTATGGATCGGCGCTGTTTCCAATGTCGAGAAGATTTATTCCGAATTTCAGTGGAATTTTTCATGTTGGACTTCGAATTTAAATTGCTTTTGAAGGAAATTTTCACATCGTTCGGACAATTGTGACAATTTGATTTTCCCGTTTTTTTTTATTGTTTGTTTTCTGTCTTAAAATCTATTCATGTGTGTCATTGGAGTTTGGATCATTGAAACCTTTATTGGGATTGTTAGAAAATAAAATAAATATTCTCGGTTTGTGTGTGTGTGTACCGATTCTCTAGTTGTATTCGAGGGCGTTTGGGTGAGTTGTTGAGTGTGAACAGTGGTGGCAAAGTGAATGGGTTGGTTGTGTGCTATCAAAATGATGCTATACATTTTATTTGAATGTCATCCCAGCAACCTCAAAGTGTCTGTTTATTTTGGCAAGAGAGATAGAGAGAGAGAGAGAGAGAGAGAGAGAGAGAGAGAGAGAGAAGAAAATCGTTTTGTTGACACGTACACGCAGTTACACTAATAAAATGCACACGCACACTCACTCATACACACCAATCACATGATTTGGAGATGGAAGTGAATCATGGCATTACAAACGATGATTTTGTCCTAAAATAATAATGAAGTGATTTCATTCGGTTATCCAAAGCTATGGCTTTGACTTAACATTTTGAATGGTCTCTTGGAAACGAGAAACCGACCAGATAAACGAGCAAAGAAACACACACATACAAACACAAACTGGGTATAGAAGAAATGCACACATACACACTGGAAGAATAGAGAAGAAAACGTATAAAATCAATGAAGTTGATGATGATTCAAACTCATGTACATTTGGACAGTTGTTGTTGCTGCTGCTGCTGCTGCTGCTGGTGGTGGTTCGTCTTTTCGCTTGATTTCCATGTCATAAATGCGTACGTTCGTCCTGAGCATTGCTTCCGAATTAAACGAATTTTGCGATCTCTGCACAAAACAACGGCTCCCCAATGATATGAATGTGCGAAAAATACTTGCACCACACACATTTCACCTCGACTCCACTCGAACAAAACACACACATGTTTTGCTCGAGCATTATTTTATGAGCTGGTTTCTCTTGCCTTCTTTTTTATTTACAATTTTCACATCCATTTTATTGGTGGATTCGGAATATTTGGTACGGAGAGAGCAGTTTTTTTTCCCTCAATTTCGTCATTTTTTCAGAATGGTTTCTAGTTTCGTTGATGTCCATTTGAAATTGTGTCAATGAAAGTGGGATCAAATACAAATCCAACCGATGGCTTTTTATTAATTCCAATGGGACTCGTGAATTATATAACTGCCTTGACACTTCGCCATCAATGCAACTCATCATTTTGACAACTGTTTTTTTTTGCACGTTTACCATAGCGGGAATTTATTCAATATATTCGGTGTATGATGCTTTGGACCCGATACTCTTGATGATCAAGGGGCATTAATTATTAAATACTTTGTGTTACAACTCGACATTTGATTCTGAAGTGTTCATCAATTTGGCGACGGTTTTGGATGAGATATTTGATCATTGCTCTTTATTCAAGGAGAGAAACATATGCTTTCGAAGAGATGAAGAGGTGGATGGAAGGATGAAGGTAAAGGTTGAAATTAAGATTAAACTTATATCTTTATCTTCATCATCATACACAGAATGCACAATAACAAATAATTCATATGCATAAGAAAAATAAAGTTATTTTAATCGTATGTAATCTCATAATTTAAGCCTTAACTTTCTCTGCCAGAACAAAGAGCGAAATCTCTAATTTTCTGAGCTTCGATAAAACTGTGCCATAAACACACTTTTCGACCTGGGTAAAAAGAAAATAAACGCTTTCATTTTCAAGCAGTAAAAAAATATTCGCTGCTTCATTCCAAGAAGTATATTTCGAGCAGCTTCAATTGCACGCGAGATACATGCTTGTCAGGATAGCAGTGAACTGTTGACAGAACGGAACAAATCTAATTAAAAGTTTATTTTTTTCCTGCGTTGCGCTTCCGTAAATTGGACTAGTTGCGTTTAATAGCTGTTTTTGATCTGCATTCGCAGGTGTTGAATATTTAAATGCAGTGAAAATGCGAGGTTTTTTCCATTCGTTTCAAATCGACATTTTAATTTCGTTTGATGAATTCAAAAAGTTTCAAGTAATCAACTAACTGAATTTCACACTAACAAGATAGCGGCGAATGGTAGGTATTTGTGCATTTATTGCAGCAAACATAGGACAATATTATACATGATCCATGGCAAAGAGTGTTGCTTGTATCATTTCAACTCAATATTAGCAAAAAAACGCATCGGAATTTATTGGCTAAAAAT